TAAGACCTTTTTATTAATTTTACAAATTCTTTGTAGATGCAAATGTCCAGCTCATGGGAATCCAGGAGTAACAACTAGGCATGAATTAAGAAATGTTCAGAGTACAGTTGCTAATGCTACACCAACAAAGGAATATGCCTTTGAGGCATGTATTTTCAAAATAAAAAAGAGTCTTATTGTATATGAAACCAATTTTGACATAAATCAGATAATTGTGAATTATAAGGAACATTTTAATTAACTTATATCAGTAACAAATATTTTTCAAGTTATGACTTATATTTGTTGATTGTTTAACAACATTTTATTTATATATACAGGGTGTCTTATTGTATGTGGGAAATACAACAGGTGTGGATTCAGCACATAAAAATAAGAAAAAACATTTCATATAAACATATGCCTGATATGATTTTGTTTTAAAAATGTAGCAAGTTACATGCACTTTTTTTCTTATTTTAGTGTCTTTAATCTACCCCTGCTGTACTTCCCATATACAACAAAACATCTTGTATATGTGAATTTATATTCTTTGAATACTTCATAATGTAATATTCATACAACTTAGAGGAATGGATGCTTAACAAATATTATAACTGATCTTTTTTTATCCATTTAATATGAATTTTATTCATTTATGTTTTTTGCCTTATATCTTTTTAAATGGAAAGCATAATACATAATACTAAAATAAAATTTGTGGAAATGAAATTTGCACACTTTATTTCTTAGTGTATTTGTTTGATCTTGATAAGTCATATTAATGTGATTACTTTATTTAATAAAAACAATTACAGATGGCTTGTTCTACAGTACGTTATGGTGTAGGTGTTACGAGAGAATTGGGTATGGATATGCAAAATTTTGGTTCAAAAAATGTATGTTTAATGACTGATCGAAACTTAATAAATTTACCACCTGTTAAAACTGCAATGGATAGCCTTACGAAATTTGGGATTCAAACCACAGTTTATGATAATGTTCGTGTAGAGCCTACAGAACAAAGTCTCAAAGATGCTATTGAGTTTGCTAAACTTGGAAAATTCGATGCCTTCATAGCGGTAAGGGACAAAGACATTGTAAACATTAATTGAAAGTGAATTGACTATATTGAAGAAACTAATTTTATATTTTAAACATAAATTGAGACATCAAAAGTAAAGAATTAAGGAAATAATTATTTTTACGCATCTTATACTTTATAAAATTAGTCGTTGCTATAATGTACATATACTTAATAATGTATTTAGTATAAAATATTTTATAAAAATTAATTTTTCATCAGGTAGGTGGTGGTTCAGTAATGGATACTTGTAAGGCAGCAAATCTTTATAGCTCTGATTTAGAAGCAGACTTTCTAGATTATGTGAATGCACCTATTGGAAAAGGAAAACCAGTTGTAGTACCACTAAAACCATTGATAGCAGTACCAACTACATCTGGTACTGGTTCAGAAACAACTGGTGTTTCCATCTTTGACTATCAACCACTTAAAGCCAAAACTGGAATTGCTAATAGGT